TGGCTTACTTAGTATAATTTTTCCAAGCCTTTCCATTTCCTAACAAATGGGGCAATGTCATTGTTTCTGATGGAGGCATAGAATTCCATTGTGTATATATACCACATTTTCTTGATCCATTCATCTCTACTGAGGGGTATCTGGGTTGGTTCCATATTTTAGCTATAGTAAATATGCACTAGGCCTTTTTGCTTTAATTATTCTTCAAATACTGTTTCACTTATACCTGAGCTATCTGGAACCAAAATCCTCCTATTTATACTTCTCATGTAGATTGGATGAGGGGCATATACCATTGTACACAAACTTTACATGGGCTGGTCCAAACATCAATTCTCTAATTTCTGCCTCATTAAGCAAAAAATATTAATTAAAACAAAAGCTTTTGGTGGGCAGCAGTGGATCATGCCTGTAATCCTAGCTACTCAAGAGGATGACATCTGAGAACTGAGGTTTGAAGCCAGTACAGGCAGGAAAGACAGTGAGACACTAATCTCCAACTAACCAACAAAGAGCCAGAAGTAGAGCTTGTGGCTCAAGGTAGAGTGCTAGCATTGAGAAAAAAAAAAAAAAAAAAACTCGAGACAGTGCCCAGGCACTGAGTTCAAGCCCCAGGACCTGCACAAAATATAATAACACCATCACCACAATAGCTTTCTTCTAATACAGTCATTCATCACTTAATGATGAAGATACAATCTGAGAAATTGAAAGGCAGCTTCAGAGCGTACTTAGAGCTAAAGGGCTACAACATTTTTTAAAGCAGCCTTTACTAACTTTTAAAATTATGTTAATTTAATTCTGGTAATAAAATTTTAGGATTCTGGCTCAAATTTTAAGTAGACTTAATGAAACTGCTAAATCTTTATAGTGTCTTTTATTTTTGTTTGCTGTTGTTTGAGACAAGGTTTCAAGATCTAGAAACAGATACGTAGTAAACAGTAGTAAGTAGGGTTCAATACAAGTAGATAACTAACATGAATCAAGCACTATTATGAGCAAGGAAATCTAAGCATTTTACATTTACTGTCTCATTTAGTCCTCATAACAACTTTCTGTGGTAGGTACAGTCAGTTCTGCTTGAATACTTGTTTTAAAAATGTCCATTTGCTCCAACTCAGTTGATGTATGACAATTTGGGCATAACTGAATTTTATTTCTTTTGTAAGAAATAGGAAGTGAAGGCAGAAAAGTGCACAGAGATTAAATGGGCTATGCAGGATTCCAGGAAGCATACATACCTCATACATTGACTCCAGATATTTAACCATCTGCATGTGCTATGAGTCATACTCATGCACATTTGGGAGTACAGGAAGTGCTATTACAGATTTAATACCTACAGTTTTGACCAAGCCTGGTTACAAAAAAAGAAAAAAAAGAATTCTCATAGGTGTATTTTGATCTCAGTTGATGTAGAAAAGCTTTCAAGTCACTCTTGTATGATCATTAGCTGTGTTCGAACTCTATACATCCTGTTTTTTCACAAGTGATTTTTAAACCCTATACCCATGCATGGATCTAAGGGTTGGCTGTACAGCTTTCCATTCAATTTTATTTATTTTATTTTTTATTTTTATTATTTTATTTTTTTTGGGGGGGGTCCAGTTGTGGGGCCTGAACTCTGGGCCTGAGTGCTGTCCCTCAGCTCTTCAGCTCAAGGCTAGTGCTCTA